ATTCTACCCAACCATGATAATGGCAGGTCCAACCACCTATCTAGGTATTCCTTAACTGCCCTAAGTACTGGTGCAAAGTTGCTGTTAGACAGGTTGTGAAGGTTATTTGAAATGTTCCAAAAATAAAAAATTGTCCAATTGAATGGGAAGTCATTCAAATTGTTGTTGTCACTCAAGCTCCCTAGAAGCATAGCTTCTGATTTATTACAATTAATTTTGTAGCCAGAAAAAAGAGCTAAACCTCTTAATTAAGTCAATAAGAATGGGGATAGAGGTTTCTGGATTAGAAATGAATAACAAAATATAATCTACATATAGAGATATAATGTGAGTTTGTCTGGCTGACATGCAATTCAGAAAGGATTGCATGTCAGCCAGATTATTGCTGGAGTCAGAGCTGTAGAGTGACAGGTAGTTATGCCTCATAATGGTATTTATTTCCCTAGTGGTGAATCGTTCCACCCCCGATTGATCCTTTAATGAAGATATAGCATCTGGTACAGTTCTATTCTTTCCAGTCTTGAAAGGAGTCGACTTGGCTTATTTCCATGTTCATATAATCTGTGTCTAGCCTGGAAAATAGATGATTCTGATTTGTCTGTAAACAGTTGGTCTAATGCTGATCTTGCAGTTTGTAATTCTTTGAAGAGCTGTTTGGAGGAAGTCCTTTCAAATTAATCTTCATGTGAGAGTGTGATTTGAAAGAGTCAGGCATAGGAGGGTAAATCACAGAATACAGAGTTTATTCCATAGTTCACGGTTACGCTGGATAGCGTCAACAGTCCAGTGCGCAAAACAGGCGCACTGGAACAAATACAGGCACACAGGGAAAATATACCCCGGCAAACAAAGTACAGGTAGCTCCACCGAGCTACACTCATCTCACATGCAACAATCACCCACAAGGACAAGGTGGCAGAGGGAACACTTAAACACATACTAAAGAGGGGAATATGAACCAGGTGTGTGTAATTGACAAGACAAGACAAATGGAATGATGAGATATGGAACGGCAGTGGCTAGAAGGCCGGTGACGACGAACGCCGAAGCCTGCCCGAACAAGGAGGGGAGGCAGCTTCGGAGGAAGTCGTGACACTTCAAGTTGCCTTACTTTTACTGTAAGTCCAACTGTAGTTTAAATGTTTTCTTTCTTTTAGCTAATTTGAATTGCCATGACAAACGGCAGTGTCTATTTCCTGACTGTGGCTGTGAGATTGCATTGTGGTAACTTTTAGGGGATGTTAAGCAAAGTTTGAGGATGGTGTTCATGATGACAGGGTATGGTGAGAGGAAAAAACAGTGAGCTATAGGCTACTAACTGAATGCAGAACTGTTCTGAGAACACCAATGGAAATAGTCTAACCCATTAGATTTACCAGAACTACTAATAGTGATGAAAGTTCAGTGTTATGATTTAGTTAAATATACAGGCAACATAATGTGTGGTGAGAGGTACTATATTAGTGTTGTTCTATAGAGATATGCTCAACATCATATAAACACTGTGGTTTATGGGATGTATAAACTTTGATTTTATTTGATATATTGGCACAGATGTTGTTACAGTGACAGTATACATCAACAACAACCAAATTAAAATATACGGACATTGCCTCTTCTGGCTCCAATTGGGAACAATCTTGGAAGATTTACAGTGCCTATAGAAAGTCTACACCCACCTTGGATTTCTACATATTCTATTGTGTTACAAAGGGGGATTAAAATGGATTGAATTGTCATTTTTCAGTCAATTATCTACACAAAGGCTCTGTAATGTCAAAGTGGAAGAGAAATTCTATTTTTTTTTTAAGATTCATGAAAAATAAAACACTAATATACCTTGATTAGATAATTATTCACCCCCCTGAGTCAATGCATGTTAGAAACACCTTTGGCATCGATTAGAGCTGTGAGTCGTCTTGGGTAAGTCTCATAAGAGCTTTGCACACCTCTTTTGTGCAATATTTGCCAATTTTTCTTTTCACAACTCTTCAAGCTCTGTCAAGGTGTTGGGGATCATGCTTAGACAGCAATATTCAATACTTTCCATAGATTTTCAAGCAGATTTAAGTCAAAACTGTAACTTGGAAACTCAGGAACATTAACTGTCTTCTTGGTAAGCAACTCCAGTGTAGATTTGGCTTTGTGTTATAGGTTATTGTCCTGCTGAAAGCTGAATTTCTCTCCCAGTGTCTAGTGTAAAGCAGACTGAAGCAGGTTTATTTTCATCCTGTAAAACTCCCCAGTCTTTTCTGATGTCAAGTATACCCATACCATGCTGAAGCCAACACCATGCTTGAAGATAAGGAGGCAGTTACTCAGTGATGTGTTGTGCTGGATTTGCCCCAAACATAAGGCTTTGCATTTAGGCCAAAAAGTATATTCCTTTGCCTTGTTTTTTTATTGCAGTATTACTTTAGTGCATTGTTGCATACTGGATCCGCGTTTTAGAATATTTTTTATTCTGTATATTTGTATTCTTCTTTTCACTCTGTCATTTAGGTAGTTACTGTGGAGTCACTACAATGTTGTTGATCACTTCCTCAGTTTTCTCCCATCACAGCCATTGAACTCTGTAGCTGTTTTAAAATCACCTATGACCTCATGGTGACATCCCTAAGCAGTTTCCTGCCTGTCCTGCAGCTCAGTTCAGAAGGAGGACTGTATCTATGATGTGTCTGGGTGGTGTACTGCATCATCCACAGCATAATTATTAACTTGTTGTATGTATGGGACAGAGGAAGGGTTAGTCATTTAAAAATCATGTCAACCCCTATTATTTCACACAGAATGAATCCATATAACTTATTAAGTGATTTGTTAAGGCATGTTTAATTCTGGACTAATTGAAGGTTGCCTGAACAAATGCAACGACTATATTTTTGTTGTTACGTTTTTATTAATCTAGAGAAAATAATATAATTTTCTTTTCACTTTGACATTATGGGGTATTTTGTGTAGATCAATGACAAAGAATTACAATTAAATCTATTTCAATCCCACTTTGTAACTCAACAAAATGTGAAAAAAGTTTAAGGGGGTGTAGGCTTTCTTCAGGCACAGTAAATATGGTTGTTGTTGATGTGCAGGAAGTTGCCCTGATGTGTATGATGTTGTGCTGAGTCTACCTTTATGTTGAATGTTCCTTCTTACTCTGGATCAAGTTCAAGATATACAAATATATCACTTGATGATGACAAAGGTCCAAGGACGCTACCAGTAGTGCTGAAACTAACATAGAGATGACATCACATTACTCACTAATGTGTTCTGTTGGGTTGCTGTTGACTTTGAAGAACATTTCTCAGCATTGTTAACATCTTTTTATTCACACACACTTTGGCTGTTTAGAAGTTCAAAATGGGTGATCGTAATTCTGGAGGTTGAGTTGGTTTTAACATGCAGTGTAATGGGCCTTTCTCTAGTTAATAGTATAATACGTATTCTCAATGTTGTTTATCATTTAGTAACAATTCTATACATCATGATGGCCTAATTCAACTGTATGGCTCGAAATCACACATTTAATCCCCACTCATATAGAAGTTTAAATTATCTTGCTATGTTACTGTAACCCCCTTAAATACACTATTATATATGAAGTGTATGATAACAGGAAGGAAAATAGCACCAAAAGGCTCCACAGACAAGTCATTATCAGCCCAACTTCTGCATTCTGCTTGTGACATAGTTATTATCACATCTTTCCGTGTTATTTATTTGCATGGTCATTTGCTGATCAGTCTCTCTGGAAGCGCTCTGCAGGAGGGTGAGTGGTGTTCTTTCTCTCTGTAGAGTTTCATGTGTTTTCTTTCCTTTAATAGGTGCAACATTGGTGCGCAGTGATGTTCAATCTATCTGTTGTGATAATTTAAAGACAGAATGACTACATGATGTAGAGCTGTGAGAAAACTCTTCAGAGACTGATAAATGTTACACCTTCGTTAAGTGAAAACACTGTTGGAGCATGTTTCATGATTGACTTTGCTATTAAATGAAGTAATTCCCTCCTCAATAGAACCCTGTGGTGTTTTATATCGAGGTGTTGCAGTTTGCTGCAATGTGGCTCTTTGAAACAACCAGTGTGATAATGGCGATTACTCTCACGTTGCCAGGTAACTATATTTTTTGCTTTGATGCTCTATCATGCTGTGGATGTTAACACTGACTTATGATCAATTAGTGAGATATGAACTATGTACTACTACTGTGTATGGCTCATAGGAGATGAACAGGGAAATACTGCAGAGGTCAGAGGGGATATGTTATATCGTCATTATTGTGTTACCTTGATGGTGAAATGTATATTTCTCAAATGACAGGGTTGGGGGGGTAACTGATTACAGTTACGTTACCAGCAAAAAATATTATAATAAGATTACAGATCGTTTTGAAAAACTAGATGATTACAGAAAAAAAATACATTGTGACACCTTTCTGTTTTCTAATGACATTCAATTCAGCATTGAAAAAACGCACAAGTTTAAGTTTGTTCCACCTCAGTGAGTCTGACCACAAGTCAGAGGCCATTATGGTGACACACCAAATGCATTTGATGGATCCTTTTTGCCTTCTTCTAATGCCTTTTAAGGGGAAAGTAATCCAAAAGTAATCAGATTATGTTACTGAGTTTGGGTAATCCAAAAGTTATGTTGCTGATAACATTTTGGGACAGGTAACTAGTAACTGTACCGGATTCTATTTGGAAAGTAAGCTACCCAACCTTGTCAAATTATTAACCTCAAAGGGAAGGAATGTCTTATCTGAGATTACAGGGCAACTTACTCTTCTAATGAACAAAAATGCAGAAGTGACTGATAGCCTGTTTGTGCACCAGCATGTGTAGAGTACTATCTCTCAAATGAATATGTCTGAAAGTAGGCCACACACAGGAATGCTATATTTTCCTACACCTTTAAATGGCAAATTGGTATGAGTGTTGTAGATAAGTGTGACAACGTTAACTATTTTTTGTTTTGTTGTTGTTGTTTTTTAAAGGTTTTTGTGAGTGTAATTGGGAGGTGACTTTCAACAATACAACACCATGTGCCTTAAGAGGGTCATCTGTGGTGTTTGGATGCAGTTATGTCTACCCCTCAGACCAGACTATAACAAACACCTTCTGGAAGTTCCAGACTCAAAAAGAGGACAATAATTTCTTTGAGGCCCAGCAATATGGAGGACGTGTAGAATACCTTGGAAATAGAGAACACAACTGCACCTTGAGAATTAATAACCTAATTAGTAGTGATGCAAATTCATACCTCTTCAGATTTAAGACAGTTAACAATGGTGGCAAATCAAATGCATGGAACAGTAAAACATGGGTTACACTAACTCTGACAGGTAATTTTTCTACCAGAAATAAATCCCACTCTCATAACACTATAAAACATTCAGTGATGACTGTGTTTCTTACTCCTCTCTACCAGGGCTGACAGCTGTAGTAAAACCTGCCACTGTAGGAGAGGGAGAGAAGGTGACACTAATGTGTGCCACAACCTGTACACTGAGTGACCATACCACTATTGTCTGGTTCAGGGATGGACACTCAGTACCCAACACAGAGTTCCTGGCCAGCATTGAGGATTCTGGTAGATACCAATGTACTGTTCAAGGTCAAGATAATCTCACCTCTACTCCAGTGTCTCTTGATGTCCAATGTGAGTTAATACCTGATCTACTAGACATGAGCACATCATATCACTGTATGCATTTTAGAATAAGGCTGTAACATAACAAAATGTGGAAAAAGTCAAGGGGTCTGAATACTTTCCCGAATGCACTGTACATTCAAAGCGCTGCACCAAGGATGTGCTGCCTCTGAAATGTGTTCATTTAATTGCATTATATTCCTAAGAAAGTTAAAAGAAACATTTTTGTTTTCTGTTAAAATAATAGGATGAATTTAGAAAGACCTATGTAGATAGCATGGTGTTTTCACATATAACAGCCCTTGTTCTGTTGGTGTGAATGTCAATGTGATTGATAGCAAATTTGAATTGAATATGACACACAGCAGTGTCTATTTGCTGAGCGTGGCGGTGTTTTTGCATTGTGGTTACTTTTGACAGGGTACGTATGGTGAGAGGAAATAACACAGTGATGGCTACTAACGAAATGCAAAACTGTTCTGAGAACATTAATAAATATATTCTGACCCATTATATTTACTGGAACCACTAATAGGGATGAAAGTTCAATCTTGTGGTTTTGTGAAATACACAGACAACCAAATGTGTGGTGAGAGGTACTATAGCAGTGTTGTGGTTCTATATAGAGAAATATGCTTAACATCATATAAACACTTGTAACCTTACTCCCTCTCCTACAGATGCTCCAAAGAATGTCACATTGTCAGTCAGTCCATCTGGAGATGTTGTTAAGGGTATCTCAGTCACTCTCACCTGCAGCTGCAGTGCAAACCCTACTGTGTTGAGCTACATCCTGTATAAGGAGAGTGGACAGCCCCTTACAAATCTAACACCAGCACAGAGTCACACCATTCATAACATCCATCCAGGGGACAGTGGAGGATACTACTGTGATGCCAGAAACAGTATCAACACAGGCAGATCTAATGTAACTACCCTCAATGTTCAGTGTGAGTATTGGCAGTTTAATTTGGTGCTAAAGAACTGTAGGCCAACATGAGTCACTTTGTGATGCCAGTTCCTTTTGGAAGAAATGTACAGTGCATTGCAAAAGTATTCATCTCCCTTAGCGTTTTTCCTATTTTGTTGCATTACAACCTGTCATTTAAACAGATTTTTATTTGGATTTCATGTAATGGACATACACAAAATAGTCCAAATTGGTGAAGTAAAATGAAAAAAATAACGTGTTTCAAAAAATTCAAAAAAATAAATAACGGAAAAGTGGTGCGTGCATATGTATTCCCCCCCTTTGCTATGAAGCCCCTAAATAAGATATTGTGCAACCAATTACCTTCAGAAGTCACATAATTAGTTAAATAAAGTCCACCTGTGTGCAATCTAAGTGTCACATGATCTGTCACATGATCTCAGTATATATACACCTGTTCTGAAAGGCCCCAGAGTCTGCAACACCGCTAAGTAAGGGGCACCACCAAGCAAGCGGCACCATGAAGACCAGGAAGCTCTCCAAACAGGTCAGGAACAAAGTTGTGGAGAAGTACAGATCAGGGTTGGGTTATAAAAAAATATCAGAAACTTTGAACATCCCACGGAGCACCATTAAATCCTTTATTAAAAAATGGAAAGAATATGGCACCACAGCAAACCTGCCAAGAGAGGGCCGCCCACCAAAACTCAGGACCAGTCAAGGAGGGCATTAATCAGAGAGGCAACAAAGAGACCAAAGATAACCCTGAAGGAACTGCAAAGCTCCACAGCGGAGATTGGAGTATCTGTCCATGGGACCACTTTAAGCCGTACACTCCACAGAGCTGGGCTTTACGGAAGAGTGGCCAGAAAACAGACACTGCTTAAGAAAAAAATAAGCAAACACGTTTGGTGTTCATCAAAAGGCATGTGGGAGACTCCCCAAATATATGGAAGAAGGTACTCTGGTCAGATGAGATTAAAATCAAGCTTTTTGGCCATCAAGGAAAACGCTATGTCTGGCGCAAACCCAACGCCTCTCATCACCCCGAGAACACCATCCCCACAGTGAAGCATGGCCGTTGACAGCATCATGCTCTGGGGATGTTTTTCATCGGCATGGACTGGGAAACTGGACAGAATTGAAGGAATGATGCATGGCGCTATATGTAACCAACTTCACATATCCCCCCAGAAAAAGGCACAAAATGTACACCCACACTTCAGGTTGACTCTGTTTTTATCTGCAGTAAAAGATATCAAACAGTGATTACAGGCATTGACAGGACGGTCACAGCCACACGTTCACTGCTCTCAGAATATCTCTCTCAGCCTGAATCCACAAAGTGATCGTATAGTATACATGCGTTGTGTTTAGAAAATAACAAAAATACAGAAAAGCATACCTGCAGTAAAAGATATCAAACAGTGATGACAGGCATTGACAGGACGGTCACAGCCACACGTTCACTGGTTAGGTAGGACACAAGATATATATTAGATAGGAGCAACAGTAGTGATACAGTGGGGGAAAAAAGTATTTAGTCAGCCACCAATTGTGCAAGTTCTCCCACTTAAAAAGATGAGAGAGGCCTGTAATTTTCATCATAGGTACACGTCAACTATGACAGACAAATTGAGGAAAAAAAATCCAGAAAATCACATTGTAGGATTTTTAATGAATTTATTTGCAAATTATGGTGGAAAATAAGTATTTGGTCACCTACAAACAAGCAAGATTTCTGGCTCTCACAGACCTGTAACTTCTTCTTTAAGAGGCTCCTCTGTCCTCCACTCGTTACCTGTATTAATGGCACCTGTTTGAACTTGTTATCAGTATAAAAGACACCTGTCCACAACCTCAAACAGTCACACTCCAAACTCCACTATGGCCAAGACCAAAGAGCTGTCAAAGGACACCAGAAACAAAATTGTAGACCTGCACCAGGCTGGGAAGACTGAATCTGCAATAGGTAAGCAGCTTGGTTTGAAGAAATCAACTGTGGGAGCAATTATTAGGAAATGGAAGACATACAAGACCACTGATAATTTCCCTCGATCTGAGGCTCCACGCAAGATCTCACCCCGTGGGGTCAAAATGATCACAAGAACGGTGAGCAAAAATCCCAGAACCACAAGGGGGGACCTAGTGAATGACCTGCAGAGAGCTGGGACCAAAGTAACAAAGCCTACCATCAGTAACACACTACGCCGCCAGGGACTCAAATCCTGCAGTGCCAGACGTGTCCCCCTGCTTAAGGCAGTACATGTCCAGGCCCGTCTGAAGTTTGCTAGAGTGCATTTGGATGATCCAGAAGAGGATTGGGAGAATGTCATATGGTCAGATGAAACCAAAATATAACTTTTTGGTAAAAACTCAACTCGTCGTGTTTGGAGGACAAAGAATGCTGAGTTGCATCCAAAGAACACCATACCTACTGTGAAGCATGGGGGTGGAAACATCATGCTTTGGGGCTGTTTTTCTGCAAAGGGACCAGGACGACTGATCCGTGTAAAGGAAAGAATGAATGGGGCCATGTATCGTGAGATTTTGAGTGAAAACCTCCTTCCATCAGCAAGGGCATTGAAGATGAAACGTGGCTGGGTCTTTCAGCATGACAATGATCCCAAACACACCGCCCGGGCAACGAAGGAGTGGCTTCGTAAGAAGCATTTCAAGGTCCTGGAGTGGCCTAGCCAGTCTCCAGATCTCAACCCCATAGAAAATCTTTGGAGGGAGTTGAAAGTCTGTGTTGCCCAGCGACAGCCCCAAAACATCACTGCTCTAGAGGAGATCTGCATGGAGGAATGGGCCAAAATACCAGCAACAGTGTGTGAAAACCTTGTGAAGACTTACAGAAAACGTTTGACCTGTGTCATTGCCAACAAAGGGTATATAACAAAGTATTGAGAAACTTTTGTTATTGACCAAATACTTATTTTCCACCATAATTTGCAAATACATTCATTAAAAATCCTACAATGTGATTTTCTGGAGAAAAAAATTCTCATTTTGTCTGTCATAGTTGACGTGTACCTATGCTGAAAATTACAGGCCTCTCTCATCTTTTTAAGTGGGAGAACTTGCACAATTGGTGGCTGACTAAATACTTTTTTCCCCCACTGTACATACCCTCAATGTGAAGTAATATGAAGACATAAATACAGAGCACAAGTACAACCCTTTTATATAAACCTTTTAAGGTAGTAAGAAAATAAACATTCACTTAATTTCAATAAGTCACCTGCTAGCAAATCACCTGCTGGCAATAGCTAGTGTGACGTTGTAGTGCAGTGACCAATGGTGCTAGTTAGCTCACCATTAACATGGCAAGCTAAGCCAGCAAAAACTTGGTTAACTTGCTGAAATAGGTCTTCAATACATTAATGGCAAAATAAATATATACAGTACATAGCCACATTTGCAATTGACTTTAGGATATATGAACCAGTTTTCCAAAAACACTTATGTTATACAGTTTTAAACAGTTTTTATATACAGATGAAGGAGACACAAACCTGCTCTCAGAATATCTCTCTCAGACTGAGGAGCAGGCAGACCAACATCCCAAATAGGGGAGAAGCACTCAAAACCCACTAGTTGTTCTTTTTTTTTTAAATGGTAAAAAAAATGGTAAGTCCTAAGACCTCTGGTATTACCAACCTTAATACAATGGCAGCAAATATTATTATGAATTCAGTAACACAAAATTAAAGGAAACTTTATTTATATCACCCCTTTTCCTGAAGTGAATGGTTTCACCCATGGTTCTGCACGCTCAAGTTTTCTGTTTTCTTGTCTTATTTCTTGTTTGTTTCATTAAAAAAAATATTTTGGATCTTCAAAGTGGTAGGCATGTTGTGTAAATCAAATGATACAAACCCCATAAAAATCTATTTTAATTCCAGGTTGTAAGGCAACAAAATAGGAAAAAATGCCATTGTATGCCTTGTTGACGCTGTGTGAAAGAAAAAAGGCTATTTGATGTACTCGCAGCTATTTGTTTTCACTTGCAGACCCTCCTGAGGACATCTCAGTAACAGTCAGTCCCTCTGGTCCAGTGGTAGAGGGCAGCTTTGTGAATCTGACCTGCAGCAGCCATGCTAATCCAGCAGTGAGCTACAGCTGGTACAGAGTCAATGGGAGCACCCCTGTCCAGTCAGGGACTCAGTTGTTATTTGAGGCTGTCTCTCCTGCTAACTCAGGGAGGTATTACTGTGAGGCATGGAACAAACATGGAGTCCTCAACTCATCACTCCTGTTTCTTGATGTTCTGTGTAAGTTAACGATGCTTGCTGTGAGGGATGTCAGTTTTTTGTGCTAAATTGTGTGTGCTTTCTTTATAGGGAAGCAGGTTGTGAAAACGTTATGTTGTTTAGCAAGACAGTTTAATCACACTGCAACAGTTTTCCACAACAGTGTAAACATAACGGGTCAGCAGAGTTGGAGTCAATCTCAATTCAATTCCTGTCTGTTGAATTGGACATGAAATACAGTATATCCTTAGGAAGCAATGCAATCTCAGTCTGTCAGGAATGTAGATTACATTGACACCTACCCTGTTGGCCAGGGCCTGATTTCCCAAAATCATCTTAAGGCTGTGTTAATAGTTAGTCTGCTAAATGGCATATTAGAACCTTCGTAGGAGTATCGTTAAATCGCTGAGGAATTTCGTAAAAACCGTCATTTCTAAATTACACTTGAAAACGCTTGTTATTTACCATCTGCCTCAGATCACTCGAAGAACAGCTAAGTGCGTCATTAGATGCGTTTTTCCCCTACCATGTCACATTATACAGAGAAGATCTCCGCTAAACATAGAATCAAGATGTTTATCTGTCTCTCTGTGACCGTCAATAACTTCACAATGAAGTTGACAAAAAATTCAAAGTTGCCAATGTCTTTGCAATTGCTACAAACAAGTGAAGGATAAAAATATGTTTCAAATAAAAACAGAGATAACTGAATTAAAACTGAATATAAAATAAAATTATGATAAATCTGTAACTGTAATCTGTTACTTTACCAGCAAAAATATTGTAATCGGATTACAGATACTTTTGAAAAAGTAGATGATTACTTCTAGGATTACTTTTACATTCAGAAACAATGTTTTGGGAAAAAAATTGTCAATGACATTCACATCAGTTTGTTCTGCCTGAGTGTGTGACCACAAGTCAGAGACCACTATGATGACACACAAAATGCATTTGCTGGATCACGGGAAAAGAGCAGGAATAGGCTTTTGTAGGCTACAGTCCAAGCAAGATATGTCTTCCATTGGTGCGACTGCTGTCGGCATCCAAAGATTATCCAACTTGAATATTTAAAAAATACCCACATTTGGGTATTTTAAATGTGGTCATCCTATTGTTAATGCAATAGAATCCTACTCCGATGCGTTCTCCCTACAACAATATCTCTTGCATAATTTGTTTTGAATACTAAGTCTTGCATAGTTTGTTTTGTTTCGGTATGTTGCATTGAAAGTGGCTAATATTATGTTGATTCTATCATAGTTCCCACAGTAAAAGGAAACATTGATAGTGTTAACTAATGGGCAAAACTCTAGAAAGTTGAGTGAAGTTCAAGCTCGTGCTTCTCTGGCTGATATTTCTTCTGCATGGCAGTCCCTGAGGAGCTGAGTGTCACAGTTTAGAGGGAACATTGGTAACTGGTAACTGTAACAGATTACATTTAGAAAGTAACCTACCGAACACTGAGTATAGGCGACACATACAGTGTATTCGGAAAGTATTCAGACCCCTTGACTTTTTCCACATTTTCTTACTTTACAGCCTTATTCTAAATGTATTAAATTGTTTTGTTTTTCTCATCAATCTACACACAATACCCCATAATGACAAAGCAAAAACATTTTTGTAGAAAGTTTTGCTAATCATAAAAAACAGAAATGAAAATATCACATTTATATAAGTATTCAGACCCTTTACTCAGTATTTTGTTGAAGCACCATTGGCAGCGATTACACCCTCGAGTCTTCTTGGGTATGACGCTACAAGCTTGGCACATCTGTATTTGGGGAGTTACTCCCATTCCTCTCTGCAGATCCTCTCAAGCTCTGTCAGGTTGGATGGGGAGCATTGCTGCACAGCTATTTTCAGGTCTCTCAAGAGATTTTCGATCGGGTTCAAGTCCGGGCTCTGGCTGGGCCACTCAAGGACATTCAGAGACTTGTCACGAAGCCACTCTTGCATTGTCTTGGCTGTGTGCTTAGGGTCATTGTCGTGTTGGAAGGTGAACCTTCACCCAAGTCTGAGGTCCTGAGTGCTCTGGAACAGGTTTTCATCAAGGATCTCACTTTACTTTGCTCCGTTCATCTTTCCTTCGATCCTGACTAGTCTCCCAGTCCCTGCCACTGAAAAACATCAACACAGCATGATGCTGCCACCACCATGCTTCACCATAGGGATGGTGCCAGGTTTCCTCCAGACGTGACACTTCGCATTCAGGCCAAAGAGTTCAATCTTGATTTCATCAGACCAGAGAATCTTGTTTCTCATGGTCTGAGTCTTTAGGTGCCTTTTGGCAAACTCCAAGTGGGCTGTAATGTGCCTTTTACTGAGGAGTGGCTTCCATCTGGCCACAATACTATAAATGCCCGATTGGTGGAGTGCTGCAGAGATGGTTGTCCTTCTGGAAGGTTCACCCATCTCCACAGAGGAACTCTAGAGCTCGGACAGAGTGGCCATCGGGTTCTTGGTCACCTCCCTGACCAAGGCCCTTCTTCCCCGATTGCTCAGTTTGGCCGGGCGGCCAGCTGTAGGAAGAGTGTTGGTGGTTCCAAACTTCTTCCATTTAAGAATAATGGAGGCCACTGTGTTCTTGGGGACTTTCAATACTTCAGAAATGTTTGAATACCGTTCTCCAGATCGGTGCCTCGACACAATCCTGTCTCAGAGCTCTACAGAGAATTCCTTCGACCTCATGGCTTGGTTTTTGCTCTGACATGCACTGTCAACTGTTGGACCATTTATAGACAGGTGTGTGCCTTTCCAAATCATGTCCAATCAATTGATTTTACCACAGGTGGACTCCAATCAAGTTGTAGAAACATCTCAAGGATGATCAACGGAAACAGGATGGACTTGAGCTCAATAGTCTCATAGCAAAGGGTCTGAATACTTATGTAAATAAGGTATTTCTGTTTTTTATTTTTAATAAATTTGAAAACATTTCTAAAAACAGGTTTTCATTTTGTCATTATGGGGTATTGTGTGTAGATTGCTGAGAAATAAATTATATTTAATCAATTATAGAACATGGCTGTAACGTAACAAAATGTGGAAAAAGTCAAGGGGTCTGAATACTTTCCGAAGGCACTGTAGGCCTATATAATTAAAGAATATTGAAATCAATTTAATGTTCATTCAATTGACTTCTATTTTGCTAATTGTAGGCTCCTGTCTGTCATTTCTGCCTGAATATTTTTTATTATGTGTAACGTGCGCAATTTTGTGCCAAATCTTGATTTAGTGTATTATTATAGGGTAAGCATTAGAATAAGCTGCCTCAATATTTGCAGCCGTAGGTAATATCTTTCTAGTAGCTGATGCTTTGTCAGTATTGTGGAATCATTCTAACGTTAAGCTAAGATTTGAATGGAGAAAGCTGATCCGAGGACAGCGTTGCCTTTCTTTCAATCCTTAGCAAACGTTCTCTCTGCATGGTGTTTAGGAAAGATGCATAATTAAAACACTCTTAAGCCTAAATTCCATCACTATCAGGAATCCGGGCCCAGGACTGTTTATTAATCATTACTTAATATCGAGCAGTCAGCACCTTTCTGCTTGCTTTAGATGCCCCAAGGAACACCTTGGTGTCAGTCAGTCCCTCTGGTCCAGTGTTAGAGAGAAGCTCTGTGAATCTGACCTGCAGTAGCCATGCCAACCCAGCAGTGGAGAACTACACCTGGTTTAAGAAGGATGGAGCAGACACCTCACAGACAGGGTCAGGAGAAATATTGAGATTGACCTCTCTAATCTCATCTGACAGTGGACAGTACTTCTGTGAGGCCAGGAACAGAGAAGGGGCTCACAACTCTACTGTGGTTCCTCTGACCATACAGGGTGCCAATCATGGTGAGTGTGGAGGGAAATGTCCTGTTCTCCTGAATCAATATGTTCTAAATGTGAATTCCCTTCTCTTGAATGTATTTTGTTCATGTACCCTGTGTCTTTTTCAGCTACAAATACTGTCCAAATGCTAGTTTACATTGGTTCCGCGCCCACAGCTTTCATGGTGATCATTACTCTTGTGTTCCTATGGATGTGGTAAGTCTAGCAACATTGTGTACTCAGTTCAATATCATAATGCAGAGTATGATGGCCTTGTGGTACCTATTTGTCCCCCCAAAGAAGTGTGTTTTCTTTGACAGGAAGAGCCCGTTCAAATTATGTCAAAAGACTGCTGTGGACAAAAAGGTGAGTAGAACACAGCATATACACTCTAATTCACAATACCAATAGCATGTCAGTGCAATAGTGTTATCTGAAGGTTTGAACGCATTAAGTGTTCATGGTACTTGAACAACATTCAAGCACAAGCTTCTATTCCTCCCCAGTAACAAGATATTTAGTTTAACCAACAGATGAAAATACGGTGAGTAGTCAATATATCAAACATTTTGTCTTGTTTTTGACTGATTCCATCTTTCAGGACGATCAAAACCCAGTCTTATCCAGTAGAAGGACCAGTAATGACCCAGCCACACAGGAAACTAGAACGGAGGAACAGGAACATGCCCTCTATGCCAACGTTCAACTGCCTCCCTCTCACACCCACCACCAAGACAGTTCTATGTACTCTGTGGTCCAGCCACCACCTCCGCAGAACCCTCCAGACCCTCATTACGCTACCTTTGACTTCCAGCAGTTCCACAGCTCCATCGACAGAGCCCAATTCTCCAGACCCCATGGAGAGGATGATGTTATATACTCCATGGTGAAAGCCAGACAGGCCAATGTGGCAGACAACCTCCAGTATGCCAGCATCCAGTTCCCCCTCCCCAGTCCTACTGCCAGGTAGGAGTGCACTCACTATCAGTTCAGTCCTTTTCCATATAACCTATTTCAGGAAGTCAGTTTATTTAAAATGTTTAATATACTCATACAACAACTCTATTTGATTTTTGCAGGCCAGAAGAAAGTTTAGAGGCGGACCATTCTGTTATCTACTCCACTGTTGCCAAACCTGAAGCCTGAAAATATCCTTTCATAATGTTGAATAAACTAAGCAGCATTGGAACGCAAGTTAAGATATGTAAAGTATGCAATTAATAAGTAGTTATGGTAATAGATGTATATGTCTTGTACTGTACTTGTAATGTATGTGTCTCAGGTGTGACGATGAGTTTCCGTTGCTTGTGCATGCTTCTATCTTCCTAATTGAATGATTGCACCTGTAATTTCATTGGTTGACTGTTTCTTTTTTTGTTTGAGGTGCGGCCGCCCAGGGAAAGGTGCTGGTAAGAGGGAAGTGGCCATGTGTCTGGTTTAGTTTGTAACTATCTGACTAAGTTTGAGAGAATATTGTTGATTTATCTTGAATGGAAGTTGAATTAAAGTTTTGTTAGATCTTCCCTCGACTGCACCAGAACCTGTATTTTTTGTTGTTTAGTTTGCTTTATTGATTATGTACTGTTATGACCTCCTTTTTGACCAGGCTGAGAGAGTCTCAGTAATTCAATTTGTATTCACTAGTGGAGGATTAAAAAAATAAATAAAAAAATGAACTTGCAACATGTTGTTGACTTCTTTATTTTGCCACTCAACCCAAACTTGAAGAACCTGTGTATAATGTGTGATGGACAAAACTCAACGTGGGGTGGCGTAGTGACATATGCCATGGTTATGTTATACATACAGTATCTTGATTATTACATGGATTTGTTATGATAAACTTTTATGTAATTGTAATTCAATTTATATATTTACATATATGGAATCTCTAGTTGTCCTTTCACTTTTGGTCATCCAATACTCAACAACTCTCCATCATAAAGGAAATAAATTACAGTAGGCCTATTACAGTAAAATGTCTTATTTTCTACAGTAGAGAGCTGAAATTAGGTGTACAGTACATGCTACAGATATTGCTGTACATGTTTTTAAAGAAAATGGGATTTAGGGCTGGATACAGCTACACAACAGTGCCGCTGTGTGGCAGTAAACTGGGTACAACATCTCCCCGCAGAGTTAATTCAGTTCCTTTTCAGATCCTGCTAATGTAAGTGTCTCATTTGTTATGGTCATCCTTGATGTAATATCATGGTAACGGCTGCTGGATGGTGGTCTCTGTAAGACTGTAACCTGGTTGACTTGATGCCGGGAGAGTTTTCCTATAGGGGAAAGTTGTTATGGATCAGACCTTATTGTTTAATAAACTTGGTATATTGACTTTGTTTTCTAGTGGAGATTCTCTGTTTTGGTTGATAATGTTTTCTGCTATTACTCCACTAAACTTATCAGATGGAAGACTACAAAACAGTTAATTGACAATATAAAGTTATACTGTAAATATCAAATGAAAAATAAACTCTAGTAATTATATAGAGTAATTATATACAGCACAAACCAATACCTAAAGAGATTACAGATCACATCACTGTAATTTTTACTCTTAAACGTATTGTAACTTTTTCACTCACCTCCTAATGCAAACCACTGTTATAATGATGATCAGTGTCAGAGCGATGGGGATCCCCACTGTCACCAACCTCCACAGTATGGGGGACTGAACATTTACTGCAGAGAAGAAACTACTGTTAGCTCTATAGGCCAGGGATAGCTCACACTGGTGTACATACTGTCATTTGTTTCAATGGCAAATTTACAATAACAGGTGGCATAATCTTGATGTTATATTACAGACTAGACTAGAACAGGAAACACACTGTATATTTTCAATGCATCCCCTTGCACCTACCTTTCCCCACAGTCATGGTAACAGTAGAGCTCTGTGATCCATGCTTGTTCACCGCTACACAGCAGTACTTCCCACTGTCCTCATAGCTGATGTTAGTGATGCTGTAACTCTGCCCTGACCCTCTCAGTGAAGCTTGGGATTTTGTCCTCTGAAGCCAGGTGTAACGCTCTACTGCAGGGTTGGCATCACTGCTGCAGGTCAGAGTCACAGAGCTGCCCATCACTACCTCCCCAAAAGGATTGACTGACACTGATGTGTGCTTTGGAGCATCTGAAGGCAGAGAAAGGTAAAAAAAATATATATATATTTGGGTAACAATGAGAGATGTCTGGTACATACTTCCCTGTCTAAGTGGATCCCAAAAAACTCATGACAAACAGTGTTACTGATTCATTGTCTCTGTGATTGGGATTTTAAAGTACTTACACTGGACATTAATAGACAACGCTGAGGAGTGGAGCGGTCTATTGGTGGTCAGGGCCTCACAGTAGTAGTTTCCACTGGCTGTTGCGCTGATATTGGTGATGGTCATCGTCTGTCCCTTATCACCAGCCGTGTAGCCTCCAGTCTTGTACCAGGTGTAGCTCTCCACTGGAGGGTGGGCAGTACTACAGCAGAATAACGTCACTGAGCTGCCCTCAACAACATCACCAGAGGGACTGAGGGACACTGCTACTTCACTGGAATGATCTGAAAGTAGACAAGAGATGTGTAAGCAATAAGACATACCAGACAGATAACAGGCGAAGGGCACACAGATCAGAGAGACACAAGCCTTTTTATCATCAGACTATTTCTCTTATCCTGTTTTAAATGTAAATACACTGAAGCTTATATCCATATGTTGTTTCTGTGTTTGTAGTGGTGGTTGTCTGGGTATTGGGGGCGGGTGGTCACCCAAATAGACGATTCCAAGCTGACAGTCAAGACCATGTGACTTTCTGCTTTAATTTCTCAATTTTTGCATACAGTCGTTGTGCCACCATACCATCAGGTTTTAAAGTGCAATAACCTCTTAGTTACAAGAGAACTCTCACTGTTGTTGTCAACAGCTGGTACTGTAATCCCTCTACCCCCCCCCCCCCCCCCCCCCCCCACCCCACAGCGGAGTCACTCACCACCTTCCGGAGACATTTGAAACCCCACCTCTTTAAGGAATACCTGGGATAGGATAAAGTAATCCTTCTACCCCCCCCCCCCACACACAGCGGAGTCGCTCACCACCTTCCGGAGACATTTTTTTTTTTAAAGTGGTTATCCCACTGGCTATAGGGTGAATGCATCAATTTGTGAGTCGCTCTGGACTAGAGCGTCTGCTAAATGACGTAAATGTGCCCTTGAGCAAGGCACTTAACCCTAATTGCTCCTGTAAGTCGCTCTGGATAAGAGCGTCTGCTAAATGACTAAAATGTAAATGTAATGTAAATGTACTGTACATACAGATATCAATAGCACTGTCACTATTACTCAGATAGACTTTCAGTAAGTTAATGAGAAAATTAGTAAATATTGAGACATTGACAAACTTCCAGAGGAAGTGTAAGAACACTATGAGTCTCTCTGAATCATGTGATCATACTGAAAAGAGGAAGCAATGGCTCCTCTCCTCAGAGTGACTCAGAAATGACGGTGACATCAATTTCAGTCCAACCTCTGAGGCTTGTGATCAGACCTGATCTCTGTGCAGACAAGCTGGAAGCTGACCACATCTTTAATAGCTCTCCTATTCTCATGAGTCAAATAGTTACACACTAAATGTATGTACAGGAAACAACCTCGAATGCTGATATTAAATGTTTGTGTTTTGAACATATAACAATGCAGTTACAGCATCCCTCCTTTATCATACAGTTTGTCAGTTGCAGTGGTGATTTTAGCATGTAAATCTTGGTGGGGCAAACTCAACATTTGACATTTACATTTTAGTCATTTAGCAGACGCTCTTATCCAGAGCGACTTACAGTTAGTGAGTGTATACATTTTCATACTGTCCTCCCGTGGGAATCAAACCCACAACCCTGGCGTTGCAAACGCCATGCTCTACCAACTGAGCTACAGAGGGCAACCTTTTTTTAATGCACTACACAACACAAAACTAAACAATACATTAATTGCACTATAACGGTGACGAACGGTGCCCACAAACTGTTAGATAGGATTGAGGTCAGGGCTTTGTAATTGGCCACACCAATACCTTTACTTTGTTGTCCTTAAGCCATTATGCCACAACTTTGGAAGTATGCTTGGGGTCATTGTCCATTTGGAAGACCCATTTGCGACCAAGCTTTAACTTCCTGACTGATGTCTTGAGATTTTGCTTCAATATATCCACATAATTTTCCTTCCTCATGATGCCATCTATTTTGTGAAGTGCACCAGTCCCTCCTGCAGCAAAGCACCCCCACAGCATGATGCTGCCACCCCCGTGCTTCACGGTTGGCATGGTGTTCTTCGGCTTGCGAGCGCCGTTTATAGTTGCGTACTATTGTTTGTACAGATGAACGTGGTACCTTCAGGCGTTTGGAAATTGCTCCCAAGGATGAACCAGACTTGTTGAGGTCTACAATATTTTTTCTGAGGTCTTGGCTGATTTCTTTTGATTTTCCCATGATGTCAAGCAAAGAGGCACTGAGTTTGAAGGTAGGCCTTGAAATACATCCACAGGAACACCTCCAATTGACTCAAATGATGTCAATTAGCCTATCAGAAGCTTCTAAAGCCATGATATCATTTTCTGGAATTTTCCAAGCTGTTTAAAGGCACAGTCAACTTAGTGTATGTAAACTTATGACCCACAGGAATTGTGATACAGTGAATTATAAGTGAAATAATCTGTCTGTAAACAATTGTTGGAAAAATTACTTGTGTCATGCACAAAGTAGATGTCCTAACCGACTTGCCAAAACTATAGTTTGTTAACAAGAAATTTGTAGAGTAGTTTAAAAACTTCTGACTTCAACTGTATGTATGTGGCTTTATTAACTCAATGCGGCTTTATTAAATTGCCACTGCTCAGTTGCTATCTACATATAATAATTGACCACAAGACATATTTACACAAGAACATTTACACAAAATATATGTCAAAAAAACATATAATAAGCACTGTGGTCTTACCAGACACTAGCAGGGTTACTCCAGGCTGTCCAGGAGGCTTCTCCACTGGGTGGTTGGTGATAAAGTAGAATACGTATGTCCCGCTATCAGACTTCCTCAGATCAGAGATCCTCAGGGTGCAGTTCCTGGTTCCTTCCTTCCCCAGGTACTCCACCCTGCCCTGGGAGGCTGGCTCAGGGAAGATACCCTGGCTATGGTACACATACCTGGGGGTGATGCAGCGGCTTTGGTCCCGGCACCACATCTCAGACAACACCCTGTAGGGCTGAGGGTAGTCGTAGGAGCAGGGGAGGACCACAGACGAGCCGGCCACGGCACACAGGGGAGTGGAGGGGACACGCACAGCCCAGTCACTACAGAGGACACCCACACAGCAGCCTGGGATACAATAAATTAATGAATATGATTTACAATACAATACTTTGTATGTCTATTCACATACCATGATAAAAGTGTGTTCCGTATGATAATGATGAATATGATGTCAGTTTTACCTTGCAGGATAAGTGAGAGAAGCCTCATCCAGCCAGTCTGGAAGACACCCAAAGCCATATCTGACGCTCCTCCACTCCCTTACTCACTGCACTCATTTACATTAGCAGCGAAGACCTCGACAGCGTCTGTCTTTCTGTCTGTCTGTTCGCTCACTCACTTCTCTTTTACTTAACTAGGAACTGGTCAAGGACATTGAGAAACAAAAAATAGGCGTGTAGAAAAGCAGTGACATTATAAGCCTGCAACAAAAAGCCAAGGCACTGTTGCTGGTTTTTTAATGTCACTGTCTCTAAACAAGACAGAGCTTGTTTTTGGTTCTGTCTATTTAGACCTTGTTTACAATGAGCATCCAGTATATGCAGATCTATGCGTTTACCTCTGACCGTTCTACCTACAGACCTGTCTAGCTCCAATCTTATCCCAACCCCTTGTGTACACCCTATAGTTTAGACATTAATGTTGCACGGACCATTAAGCTCCTGTGGCATGGTGTAAGCCTAGGACTGGCCAACCCATGCCTCAACTTCAATGCACTTTGGTCTATTGCACCTCGAACATTACCTGAATTTAACACATACATTTGAAACTAAGAAACGATGAATCAATTGAAGGGGTTGTTAACAGTTACACTTGATTAACCATGGTCTTCAAAAACAAAGGGCTTTAAACCTGTGCTCTGCAGGTGCCAGTTGACCGATATCTCATGACGTCACATGTATGTTACTTGGCCGTTTCTAAAATGATATGAGCGCAGAACTAGTCGAACTGCTGAGCGGTCATGTTTTTACAGAAAAAACAACTGTGTAAATACATTGATAGCTACAAGTTTTATCTATCGGAAATTATTTTTTAGTTTTGAACGAAGAACGGTTTTCTTTCGCACAAGGGGGGAAAGTGGGGAACGTTTTTTTTCGTACTCTTTGTAGCCATACAACCACTTGTCGAAGTATTGGGAATATCCATGACAGCCTATTCATACTGCTACCCCGTAGCGAACAGCGAGCCTCGAGAGTAATCGCCGAGATTGTAACTTCATTTTTGACAAGCAGTCAAACACCTGTTGCAAAAGAGAGGTGAGTGCTCTGAGAACGGTGTGGATTTTGAGTAACCTAATACTCTGTAATTTGAAAGCATGTGAGTTGTTTTTGATCATGAAAATACCCATGGAAAAGTAACAGATACATTCTGTCCAGTGTTCACATCTCAGGGTGATTGTTATGAGTTTATCGATATAAAAGGGATGTAGGCCTAATTATTCTATGCTGAATGGTAGGCCTATTGGTAGCTAGCTAGTATGTACACTGGGGAGAAACAGCATATCCTAATTCTGTGGTAAATGACAATATAGGTACCACTCATTAGTAGAGACATGTTTATTACACATTTATTCCATAGAAAATAACAATTTCCCCTTCAGCCTGGACTATTAGTCAAATCTGCTCAAAACAACTCACTTTGCCCTTTGGTTTATTTAACTTGTTTAACCCACCTCTCTCCAGTCTAACAGTTTATTAACGTTCATGTTCAGCTTTATCTTTTTATACAGGCTGGGAATAAGACTGGGTGGCAAGTTGACCACCACAGGAGCTGTGAAGGAGGACCACTCTGAACTTCAGCTACCTCTTTTCATTTTGTACTTTTGAGCGAGAAAAAATGACTGAGAAAAAGAATGGTGAGTGTTCCACACACATCCAGACATTGTGCTTGCCACATTTTTTCCCTCTATATTTGACATCAGACATCAGAACAACTCAGTGTTAAAGATTAATAGAACTGGCCACTGCTTGCTGTTTGATGGGGTAAGCTACCTTTTGTGGTGTTGAGTTTGTGATCTAGATTAGGAACCTTTTAAATATGGCTTTTTTCATACCGTCTGTTTTTGCCAAAGATCTTTCAAATAATTTAGCTTTTATTAAAGGACGCACATTCTTAGAAAAAAAGGTGCTATCTAGAACCTAAAAGGGTTTTTCGGCTGTCCCCATAGGGGAACGCTTTGAATAACCCTTTTTGGTTCCAGGTAGAACCCTGTTGGTTCCAGGTAGAACCCTATTCGGTTCTATGTAGAAACCTTTCCCCAGAGGGTTCTACATGGAACCCAAAAGTGTTCTACCTGGAAGCAAAAAGGGTTCTACCTGGAACCTAAAAGGGATCTCCTATGGGGACAGCCAATAAGAGTGCAGTGATACTTTATCCATGCGTCTTTGATTCTGTTTAGCAAAAACTTTGAGTATTTATTATTATCTATAACACAGGGAACCTCTTTTATTATCTAATTGGGGGGTCTAGAGTTCTTTCTGAATGGAGAACATTATCCTTCACCATTATCACTCATTTAACAATGTTTACTAAATCCAGTGGATTCTAGCATTCACTTCATTTCACTGTTCCTTTTAGACTTCTCAGCTGTCTCTCCTTCAGTTGTAGTGGCAGACCATAAACCGTATTTAACAACTCTCTATCTTTATGACACTGTAATGTCTTGTGTGATTATGTTTAGGGAATGACAGATGTGATAAGGGCCCAAGTGTACCTAGCTTGGAACCTCGTCAACCTTGTGAAATGTTTTTTGACTGCTCATATCAGTATTTCTGTTATCTAATTATCACTAGTATTAGGTGGTCCCAATCATGATCTTTACTCAATATTTTGAAAGCTATACCTGTATGTACTGATAAATAATCAAAACAGTGGTAATAACAAGGGTACAGTTATCTTGAGTTTAACATATTTTTTAGACCACAGTTATACTGTTGGCGTTTTACCAGACATAGCATCATTGATTGTGTGGCTTTTTATTTGGAGATTTAGAAGTACTCCTGAATTCTCAAGCATGGACACTTCCGTGTGTCTTGTAGAGAAATGCTCACCAGGACTCTCTGACAGATTCTATGTTTCAATGTAAAGCCATTGTCAAACCTGAGTCACCATCCAATGAACAACATCTCAGTCTCCTTCTGAGTTGATACCGTACAGTGGAGCAGAAACAGTTACAGCATGACTGGTGATTGTTGTGTGGTCTGGTTTCGTTTTGGTCTGGGTTGAGTTGTGGGCTCAGGTGTACAACACTGTGGTTTCTATCTGTGGTTTAGTTGCTGAAACTGCTGGTCTGTGGCATTCCATGACTCTTGATGTGTGAGAGATTTTAGTTACTTCATGTAGTGGACAGTCACAATTCTGAAACAGATGTAGCTTTATGAAATGTTCTTTCTATTGTGAAATGAGGCAGAATACCTTCTTCCTGAGAGAGACACAAGGGAATGAACTAGGCCTTTCACCTTATAGAAGTATCTCCCTTCAGCTAAGGAGACATGTATTTCCCACACACAGAGTGTACTCAGGTAGAGGCTAAAACAATAGCAGGGCTTGTTCTCCAGCTCCAGGCCTGTGACTCCAGGATCCACTGGAGTGGGTTTAGGAAATGTGGGGCTTTCCTGGAACCAGCAGCTGGAACACTGGAAGGGAGACTGGCCTGAGATAAAGTCAGCCCTTAGACAAGGTCTGGTTATGTCAATAAGATCTGTGGTCCCTTCCTCACCCCTGTCATTACAGAGAGTCCTGGGCAGGAACAGTAACACATTAATGTACTGATACAGCCTCACATGACATAGGTGGATGGGTTTGGTATGGGTTTTGTGGTCGTGGAAAGTTTTTGTTAGAAGTAGAATGTATCCTCAAAATCAACAAGGTTGAGAATCGCTTTTGTACAGAGAAGGAATGTTCTAATTTAAATCTGTAGTGCAGGGTTCTCCAAATCCGGTTCTGCAACGTGACTGGGTGTGCAGGGTTTTGCTCTAGCCCATACCTGTTTCAAACAATCAACTAATCATGGTCCTCGTGTGTTAGTGCTGGCTGGACCAAAAGCCAGCACACCCAGACTAATGTCTGGAAAAGTCCTTGAATCAGCAACCTATAACATGTGCTGAGTCAGGGTTCTCTGGGGTTGCCATAGGTGACTGCACCAAAACTGCTGTTATTGTTTGAAAAGAGTCAATTTTAGTATATAATGTACAGTCATCACACTAACAGAGCTTCACTGTATGTTATGCAGGTTAACTGTGTGTTTTTAAAACTGTACAGTATACAAAAGCCTACAAATTCAGGATACATTTTTACATCTTCATTTTCACTGTGTTAAATAGCGACAGTACTTGATGTTATTATTTTAACGCTGTCTCAGTAAAAACCCATGTATCTTATTGTTGATGGATGTTCCACACTGAGGATTTTCCCATCACTCTCTGAAGAGCCATCAGCTGCCTGTAAACTGTGCCCATATCCTGAGGTAGTGCGTACAGACGGCAGACCCCATGGCCTTACAGGACCCCCAGTGTTTTCTCCCTGAATTCGAGTCTCCCTCATCTGTGTGCGATGTTGATTTTCCTCTCTTTTAATTGGCAGAGTATCTTGTTGACGCTCGTTTTCCCTTCATAAGGCATAACGGGAAACAGTGTTATGTTATTGATAAGAAACATGCTCATTCGGCAGGCTCTTCTTCTACAGCTAGCTAGGGTGATCCAGGTAGTGGGCGGCAGGTAGCCTAGCGGTTAAGAGCATTGGTAACCAAAATGCCGCTAGTTCAAATCCCCGGGCCGACTAGGTGAAAAATCTGTCTGTGCCCTTGAGCAAGGCATTTAACCCTAATTGCTCCTGTAAGTCGCTCTGGATAAGAGCATCTGATAAATGACTAAAATTTAAAATGTAAAATATAGTGCAGCTGTTTGTGTTGTTGGTGTCGAATGGTTGAATAATGTCTTCACTATTGGGCATGTATTGATGTTTGTATGTAGGAGATTGTTCCTAAGTGTCCGTCAGACTAGTGTATTGCCCACATAGCTAGGGCCACGTGACCAGATCAGTAAAACGTATTGGCCCTATAGTATACATAAAGACTTGTGTATACCTATATAGTAATAACAGATTTATAGACCTGTGTATTACCTACACGTGTGTTAGACCTGAGTTGGATCCACACACAGACAGTGTGTTTGTTTGCGCTGAGTCAGGAGCTTATCATGCCTTGCAGTCAGTCAGTCACTCAGTGTCTCTGCTGGTCTGCTCTGCTGGGCTGGTCTGGTGTGGCAGGTCTCCACACAGGCTGAAGCTGGCTGGCCGGCCTGCACGGTTAATGAACACTCCAGAACTCCACTCTCTGCGCCTCAGCTACCTGCCTGCAAACACAGCAGATGTACGCATGTTACCTGTGTGTGTGTGGTTTGGTTTTACTGTCCTTGTGGGGACGTGATGTCCTCACAAGGATAGTAAAACAAGGAAAATCCGGACAAGTGGGGACATTTCGCCGGTCCCGACAAGGAAAAAGGCTTTTGTAGGCCTAGGGGTTAGATTTAGGATTAGGGTTAAAATTAGGGTTAGGGTTAGAATTAAGGTTAGGGGTTAGGAGTTAGGGTTAGGTTTAGTTTTAGGGTTAGGGTTTTGGTGTTAAGGTTAGGGTTAAGGTTAGGGTTAGGTTTAGGGTTAGGGCTAGGGTTTAGGGAAAGTAGGAATTTTTTGTGTGTGTGTGTGTGCGGTGCATAAGTGTGTCTCACACGTGTGACGTAAGTTGTAAACGGTGGTTGAATAATCAAGTGTGGCTTTGTTTTGGTTCAACCAAACTTTAAAAGTTAGTGACTGGTCAGTTCATGGACCTTTCATCATCATCAGTAATTTAATGTAATGAACTGACCACTCATTCTGCCCAACCTTGTGTTCTAGCTAGGGACACAGTGACAATTTGTTGGGGCTCGAGATGGCACTGAAATCAAGCCTGCAGTTTGTTTTAGCTCTATGGAAATGGAGCAGACTTTGGACTATTGATCCTATTCATTTGTACTTTTTCAATGTGCCAATTTGCCAGTGTGTTATTATGGCACTCTCTTTTCCTTTTCACCTATCTGATTAAAACACTTTTACTTCTTCAAGATGTTCAAACGTTCACTGTGGCCCTTTCCAAAGTTACCCCTGGACAAGTCCAACCAGGCAGGATATTACCCCACCCACTTTGCCAAAGCACAGCCCCCATACCACCAAAGGGATATCAACAGACCACTAACTTACTACCCTGAGACAAGGCCAAGTGTAGCCCACGAAGATCTCACTCACCGCACGAGCCCGAGGGGGCGCAAAACCGGACAGGAAGATCACGTCAGTGACTCAACCCACTCAGGTCGAGTATAGCAAAAAAAAGCCTGGCACGATGTGATGCACCCCTCCTAGGGACGGAATGGGAGAGCGCAAGCAAGCCAGTGACTCAGCCCCCGTAATTGGGTCAGAGGCAGAGAATCCCAGTGGAGAGAGGGAAGCAGGCAGAGACAACAAGGGTGGTTCGTCATTCCAGTGCCTTGCCGTTCACCTTCACACCCCTGGGCCAGACGACACTCAGTGTGACGCTGAACGTAATGGTATGTTTTTGTTGTGTGTGTTGTCTTTTACAGGAAGTCCGGGGATTTCTCTCCCGGGAAGCGCGGGGGTGACCTTCCTGACCCCATGTCGCGTGGCGGGCGTGTGTCTGACCGTGGTGCTACTGGGGGGGATTGGAGCTGCTGTCTGGGCTGTAGGTGAGAGACCTCTGCTTCTGCTCTCACATAGTAGTGATGCGTACCTTTTGGCAATGTGCAGTGCTTTATGGGTAATGTAGTTTTAGTTTTTCCATAGTACAGACAGAGACGGTAGAGGAAGCGAGACATCCCACTCCCTCATTTTTTTTCTGTTTCAATGGAAGTCAATGAACTAAGTACACCAGAACCAGCTGCTATCACATTGGTGTCTATGGGAGAGCCAACCCCCTTAAGTAGACAGGAACTGACCATTTTTTTCAATGGTAAACAACCTGAATTAACTATCTTAATTTATCCTCCATCTTTGGTACAAATATTACCAACATTGTTTGATTGCAGTCAGTGGAGTTGTTTGCAGGCTCTGTGAGGTTTGCTGTTTCATCAACAGAGTGTGTATGCACTTTACAGTTTTATATTACATGTTGTTGACTTTTGTTTGTTTCTTTGTTTTTCAAATCCTAGTAACGTTTTGTATCCGAGAAGAAGACACAGGATTATATGATGGTAAGTGAGAGGGAAACCACTTCACCAAAGCCAACCTCATATAGTATCTGAATCGATAGAAGGGCTTGTTTGATCTAGTATTTCATTGCTCCACCCCAGTCCAGGTGAACTCCAATCCAAGCTCGGACCTACGTCTCCGGGTGTTTGACTCGGCCCAGCGACGGTGGAGACACGTCTGTTCCTCAGAGGCCAACCAGCTCCTGGCCAACATAAGCTGTGAGGAGATGGGCTTTGTCAGGTGAGGAGATTGATGGATTGTGATATGAAAGGCTTTAGATTAAATACAAAATTGGGAGTCACTATCTACAGCATCATAAAAGGATACCCCTATGCCATGGAAGAAGGCTGCATAGAAATTGCTCCACCCTTGCCTGGTTGCTAAAATTGTAATGGTTTGCCTAATTTCAGTTTGTGGCCACAAAACAAGCAATGTATAGTTTAGAGAATCTAAACAGCTGTGAAATACATGTAAAGAAATATATATATATATTGTATTTCCAGCTGTTTGAAGCTGGTGTACAAAGCTGAAAATAAAAAGAGGCGAAAACTAAACTTAAGGACAGGAAGCATAAATATAGTGCATATAGAATGGATCTACCGCATCTCCTACTTCCTTTCAATGAGAATGACAGATCTATACCTCACAATGCTATGTGAATTTGGTTGGGTCGCTCAAAGAGTTATACATACTGCGCCTCTAAGTAACTTAATCGGGTTTAGGCCAGGGATCTTTCAACTGATCTGTCAGTGATAGAAGTCTCTTTAATAAAGAGATGCATGCTTTGTGTCCCCACCAGCGTGGTGAATTACTCCGTGTTCAGTATCCCTGAAGGCAGTAACGACCGTGAGGAGGTCTTCTGTGTCAAAGAGAAGGAGCTGACCTACGGCAAGAAGATCAAAGAGTCTCTATATCCCTGGTAAGACATTCTTATAATACTCTTATATCTCCTAGATGATTATCTTAAGGCCGTGTTTATTAAACTAGAGCTGGCTGAAAAGGAGAGAAGAGCAGGAATTCAGGGTTCCAGGCTGATGTGTCTGACTGTTGTTGCTGTTGTTGTTTTTCAGTGGCTGTGAAAGTGGCCAGGTTCTAAGTCTGCTTTGTCAAGGTAGGTACTGCTGAGAGCTTTGGTTTGGTCCTGTCACCATGACACACTTTTTACACAAAGTGATGAAAAGCAACCTGAGAGTTGTACAGGATGGCTTAACTCTCTCTCTCTCCTGCATCTCTCTTTACTCATCCCTCCCTATCTCTCTCTTCCTTCCACTCTCTCCTCCTCCTCCCTCCCCATCCATATCTCTCTCTCCTCCCTATCCCTCCCTCCCTCCCCTCTCTTTCTCTCTGTCTAGACTGTGGCAGGCGTAGTCTGACAGAGGACCGTATAGTGGGTGGTGTGGATGCTAGGCAGGGTAGCTGGCCGTGGCAGGTCAGTCTGCAGTATGACGGGGTGCACCAGTGTGGAGGCTCCATCATCTCAGACCGCTGGATCGTCAGCGCAGCCCACTGCTTCCCAGAGTACGCCCTGAATCTTTCTCTCCCTCTCTCTCTCTCTCTCTCTCTCTCTCTCTCTCTCTCTCTCTCTCTCTCTCTCTCTCTCTCTCTCTCTCTCTCTCTCTCTCTCTCTCTCTCTCTCTCTCTCTCTCTCACGCACACACACACACTTCTTCTCATTGATTCTGTTTGTCCTCTCTCAGGAGGAACCGTCAGGTGTCTCGATGGAGGGTGTTACTGGGCTCCATCTACAACAAGCTCACCCATAAGAATGTTAGGGTTCTTGAGGTAAAGACTGTGGTGTACCACAGCAGCTACCTGCCCTTCGTAGACCCCAACATAGATGACAACAGCAGAGACATCGCTGTCCTGGCTCTGGCCCAGCCTCTTCACTTCACAGGTAAACACATCAGGGCCCATATTGTTATAGCTTATTATACAGTGATGATTTGTTGTTCTTTTTCAAGGCACATCAGATGAAGCCACAATGTGCTTAGAGGTAGAAGAGAGAGAGAGAGAGAGAGGGGGGGGGGGGGGGGGGGGGGGGGGGGGTAGAGAGAAGTGATAAAGCGAGATAGAGAATGAGGGACGAGTCACTATGGTAATTCCCTTCCTCAGGGTTCAGGTTTCCAGTCAGACTTCCAACAAAGGCCCTCTTTACTGCCTGCCTGCAGTCGCCTGGACAAAAGACAATGATATCAGAACCGGACAGAATAGTTTGGCCTCTGTTTCACTGTAATTGTTCATTTCCTGGAATCTCTGGACGTTCATAGAAAAACATTACATTGTTATAATGTGAGAGAGAAAACTCTCTAGGACAGCGTTTTGGATTTTGCCTTAACACTACACGGCTGATTCAAATTATCAAAGCTTGATGATTAGTTGATTATTTGAATCAGCTGTGTAGTGCTAGGGCAAAAAACAAAACGTGCACCCCCGAGTTTGGGAAACCCTGCTCTAGGATGTAGTTGTTATGCAGGCACTACAGTGAACTTCCTGTTGTTTATCAAGGCCAGATGTATTGGGCCTTGTCTGACATCTAGTGGTTAGACAGAATTGCAACTATTCTCATGATAAAATAACACACTGGTGGGGAAATTGAGAACATGCTAAATTAGCCGGACAAGATTAACATTGTCCGTAGTGAATACAACACACAAGCCATCAAGTAATCTCAATTTCTGTGCAAGTATACAATTAATTACAATTCAATCTCATCTCATCTCTCTCTCCCTCCTCTTCACCCTCTGTTTTCTGTAGACTACATCCAGCCGGTGTGCTTACCCCACTATGGCCAGCGCCTGATTGACGGCCAAATGGGGACAGTGACAGGCTGGGGAAATGTAGGTTACTATGGTGAGTGACTGTGTAACCTTCTACATCCTTAAACTTACATCTGGTCCCATAGCCAGATTCTGTAGGAGCTGGGCTTAAAACAGAATCTGGTCCCAGAGCCAGATACCAGATACTGTAGGAGCTGGGCTTAAAACACCATCTGGTCCCAGAGACAGATACCAGATACTGTAGGAGCTGGCCTTAAAACATAATCTGTCCTAGAGCCATATACTGTAGGAGCTGGGTTTAAAACATAATCTGGTCCCAGAGACAGATACTGTAGGAGCTGGCCTTAAAACACGATCTGGTCCCAGAGACAGATACTGTAGGAGCTGGGCTTAAAACATAATCTGTCCCAGAGCCAGATACTAAAGGAGCTGGGCTTAAAACATAATATGGTCCCAGAGACAGATACTGTAGGAGCTGGGCTTAAAACATAATCTGGTCCCAGAGACAGATACTTTAGGAGCTGGGTTTAAAACATAATCAGATCCCAGAGACAGATACTGTAGGAGCTGGTCTTAAAACATAATCAGATCCCAGAGCCAGATACTGTAGGAGCTGGGCTTAAAATGTAATCTGGTCCCATAGACAGATACTGAAGGAGCTGGGTTTAAAATGTCATCTGGTCCCAGAGACAGATACTGTAGGAGCTGGATTTAAAACATAATCTGGTCCAAGAGACAGATACTGTAGGAGCTGGGCTTAAAACATAATCTGGTCCCAGAGACAGATACTGTTGGAGCTGGGTTTAAAACATAATCTGGTCCCAGAAACAAAAACTTTAGGAGCTGGGTTTAAAACATAATCTGGTCCCAGAAACAAATACTTTAGGAGCTGGGTTTAAAACATAATCTGGTCCCAGAGACAGATACTGTAGGAGCTGGTCTTAAAACATAATCTGGTCCCAGAGACAGATACTGTAGGAGCTGGGCTTAAAACGTCATCTGGTCCCATAGACAGATACTGAAGGAGCTGGGTTTAAAATGTCATCTGGTCCCAGAGACAGATACTGTAGGAGCTGGATTTAAAACATAATCTGGAACCTTAGACAGATACTGTAGGAGCTGGGCTTAAAACATAATCTGGTCCCAGAGACAGATACCGTAGGAGCTGGGTTTAAAACATAATCTGGTCCCAGAGACAGATACTGTAGGAGCTGGGTTTAAAACATAATCTGATCCCATAGACAGATACTGTAGGAGCTGGGTTTAAAACATAATCTGGAACCATAGACAGATACTATAGGAGCTAGGCTTAAAACATAATCGGGTCCCAGAGACAGATACTGTAGGAGCTGGTTTTAAAACATAATCTGGTCACAGAGACAGATACTGTAGGAGCTGGGCTTAAAACATAATCTGGTCCCAGAGACAGATACTGTAGGAGCTGGGTTTAAAACATAATCTGGAACCATAGAGAGACAGAGTAGGTGGATCCTTGTTGTCATTGGACAAGACAGCCTCTCCCTATGTCTTTCTTTCTCTCCCTCCTCGCTCTCTCTGTATGACCTTTGAATATGTAAACAGGGACAGTGTCATAGTGTGTAGATGTGCCAACTACTATTGACCAGGAATCAACAATCTTTTGGTCAGATATGGTGGTCAGATCACGCCATCATTAATGTGTATGGAGGGATTAACAGCTTCTCTCTCTCTCTCTCTCTCTCTCTCTCTCTCTCTCTCTCTCTCTCTCTCTCTCTCTCTCTCTCTCTCTCTCTCTCTCTCTCTCTCTCTCTCTCTCTCTCTCTCTTTCTCTCTTAGGGACTCTTGCTGACGTTCTTCAGGAGGCTAACGTGCCGATCATCAACGACGCTGTCTGTAACGCCCCTGATTACTATGACAACCAGATCACCACCAGCATGTTCTGTGCTGGCTTTGAGAAGGGTGGTACCGATGCCTGCCAGGTAACCAGCTATAGTGACATCTAAATCCCCTGCCCTGACAGTCAATTCATAAATTTGAACAAGAAATTACACCTTCCATCCATATTCTGTCTTCCACTTACAAACGTCATCTATTGACATATAAATGTGCCGGATATGAGCAAGGTTGTACCATTGCTCTCTATCCAGATTCTAGCTTTTACATGATACATTTTTAATATTTAGATAATCCATTCACCCAAGTGAGAATGATTTTGTAATCTCAGGGGGACAGCGGGGGCCCGTTTGTGGCTGAGGACTGCCTGTCCAAGGCCAGCCGTTACCGCCTGCTGGGGGTGGTGAGCTGGGGAACAGGCTGTGCCATGGCCAAGAAGCCTGGCGTCTACACCAGAGTGTCCCGCTTCCTACCCTGGATCTCCTCAGCCATGAGGGTGAGTACAGTATGCAGACATACACACACGCACGTACGCATGCACACACACACACACACACACGTACACAGATGCACACAGGTGGAAGTATAATCTTCTTTTCCTGTCTTATCTTCACAGACGTATCAGAATTCACCAGGAGTGCACAAAATGGCGCGTACATGGGAGCACTAACCATACCTTTAAGGGATCAGAAATTACCAAAATCTTATCCCTTCAGACTTACTGCACTTCACCTGTTAAAAATCCCCATCCTATTTGGGGAACATTGAGCAAATATCTGATGTATAGGTAAATTCAGCTAGATTACCTGAGGAAACCCTTGAAGTGGTAGCTTGACCAAAGAATAACCAATAGGTGTATGGTCTTGTGAAATGTAAAAAGTGTCAAATGAAAAGACTTATGGGACATGCATGACAAAGTCATAGAAAATCACCACTCTGCCAGCCAATGTACAGGTTGTACTGTCATATGGGGATTATTTGTATGTCATCAAAGGGTACATTTTTGTATTCAGGGTTTCCTTACAGTTTGACTCTTTTCAGGTGCAACAAACTTATAATACACAACAAGCCTGATGAAAAATGTCATGCTCAAACAGACATTAAAAAACATTCAGGCTAGTTTTGCCATGAAGTTTCTCCTTCATATTATTCCCTTAAACAAATAATGCCAAAGTTACTGAAGAGATTTTAACATAGACAGCATGTAGCTGAAATTCCCTGAGACCTAAAATGCTTGTAACAAAAAAAACATTGGTGTCAGATATTCAGCTCTTGGAATTGTCTCACTATCCTTTGTTTGTACCACAGATTGCAGTTCAGAGTGACTGTAAAGTTCTATAATAATATATGATGTTTCTTTGTTTTGTTTTTGTTCGGGACATGAATTTAGGGACAAGTAAACAGGTGAAATGTAAAATATATTTCTATTACATGTATGTAGATTAGAAATTGAGCTATAGAACGTAGGAAATATTCATAGTTAAATCAGTTTTTTATTTGTTTTGCTTTATTGTAAATATTAGTAGCTGATTTTTTGAAAATGGATGTTTATTTGTAAGTGATCCATGGATTTCAATCTCAAATATGCAATAACAACCAGAATCATGTTCTTATTAACCATTTCAGCTTCACAAGTTACTAAGGAATTACTGTTAACAACACCAAGTCATATTACATATTCATCACAGGATGATGCATTACACTACAGAGATCAAACTCAGTTGTGTGTTGTCAGTTAAGGGCCTATTACCTGCTGAGAACCACAACTACTTTATTGGTAGAGAATTAGCTACACAGCAACACTAGAAAAACTCTGCACAATTGCCGGTATTGTCTGTTGATCATCATGATTCAATTTGCTGTAGTTTATTGTGATGTAGTTTATCAAGCTTATTTGATGGTCTTTATGCTTTCATTTCCCCGTTTTATATTGTTTGAAGTCTAGTCTCTATGCAGATGAGAATGTATATATATATTCTGTGAAGAAATTATGAAATTTTTAGTAAGGATGTTATTGTTACTGATTTCAACTCTGTTCCTTCTGTAAATGTAAATTGTTCTATTGAATATTGTATTGAAATAAAGATTTAATTTAACAAACTGGATGATGTATGTCAAATGTCATCTACAGGTATAGGATCTTAATTTGAGTCAGTTTGCTACAGAAGGAAAATAATCATGCAGCAACAGGAAATGTGAATTATTATGTGGATTATAATTATTCCATTAGGGAAAATCAAATCTGAAATTTCAAAGTGGAAATTACAAACTCCAGAATACTTTTTAAAGTTTTAAATTTCCTGCAAATGGGTGATCAAATTAAGATCCTACATCTGTACCAGTATTATATTATGCGGCTAAAGCCTCAGTCAAAGCCTGTCATTTCCGTAACACATAACACTTTGTATCTGGACACAGTTGTGGAACTGGTTTTATGGAATCTAAACATTCCTAGTTTACAGGAACTGAACTATTCAGACATCCTGAAAGGTGATACTATAGATGTCTCACTATATGATCAGTTCTACAGTTAATGTGATCTAACGTATCATTGAATCATTGGATAACTGCATGACTGCCCTGCATGACCCCTGCCAGGCAACCCCATTAGCCTGTGTATTTTCCCAGACGCAAATGTGCTATAGACTTATGTCCACTGGCCATGCAAATACATCTGTTGATACTAAACCTAAAGGGTACCTAAAGTACATAACAGCTTTTCAACCTATAGGCTTTAGCATTACTTGAATGTGACCTTTATAGTGTGTGGTATAGTGAGACACACAGCGAGACCCACAGTCTCAAATTTGTAACACCTACCTGACAATGCTCATTGTTTTTCAACCTTCCCTTGGAAAATAATAGGACAATATTGGGTGTCTGCTTTGGAAGTGAAATGTCTTTACTCAAATCACAGGAGTGCTCTCAGAAGGAATGAGAGAGACACACACAGAGAGAGAGAGAGAGAGAGAGAGAGAGAGAGAGAGAGAGAGAGAGAGAGAGAGAGAGAGAATGAGAAGAGAGAGAGAAAGGATTGGCAGGATCACCTGGAGGAGGATGTGAAAGAACCTCATCGCTTTCTATGCTAAATGCGGCCCAGCCCTGCTCAACCTGTTCACATTATTTTCCTTCCCAGGAATCTTTCTTGCAAATCAGTCCAGGGAGTTCCTTCATTTGTTTTTCACCATAGAGAAAGTTGTTTGTTCATTTGCTTAGGTCGTAGCTCAAGGAGAGTCGTATGTCCTCTCTCTCTCTCTGCGTTTTCAGGCTGGAATCATTGGCAGCAGTCTCAGGTCATGGATGTTCACTGAAGCGGATGTCTTGGAGTCGTTGGTAGAAAGTTGTTTTGTTTATGAAGAGAAGAATAATGTCTGTATGTGGGATGACGGGACCAGGGCTTGGTCTGTCTGTGTTCCTGTTGGCTCTGCTTCATCTTCTTCAATGCTCAGGTAGGACTGACTTGGTTGACCTTTGGTTCTGTCTTGCCAATCATACATGTAAAGGTAGCTACTGCTTTGCTTTATCTTGGCCAGGTCGCAGTTGTAAATGAAAACTTGTTCTCAACTGGCTTACCTGGTTAAATAAAGGTGAAATAAAACAATAAATAAAAAAAGCTACCATATTGTTTTTATTTTAGCCAAGATTGGTTGGGCTCAAGAGCAGCCATCCAAACCTAGATAATTGTGTTATGATATTACAATACAGGTTGAGAATGTAGACAGAGAGCAATATTTGCAGTGGTGCCTTGGTTTCACTGATGTCCCTCATATCAGGAAAATACAATCTCAGACCAATTCACTTTGGAATAGTCAAACAGTCAACCAACCCTTTCCATGAGAATTAGCGCGCTTTGCCTCCTAGGCAAATGTGGAGGACTAGGCTGTGTCACAGGCTATGACTGATTATGTTGCATTTCTCTCCTTGCTATCCCTTCTCCCCTCCCATTTCTCTCATTCACTGTACCCATTTCTCCCTCATATCCCCTCATCCATCCATCCCCCAGCCCAGAACAACTACACTACGCGCCCAAATAACTTAACAGTGGCTGCTGGCAAGCCTGCTGCCTTCCAGTGTGGTGTGTCCCCTCCTCCTAGACAACTCAACTTCACCCTCTATGGTAGCCATGGAAACAGAACCCTCATCTGCCCAGGAAACCACACTGACTACCTGGCTGCCCAGGTCAGTGGCACAGCCTTAGCTTATATTATACCAACCGTCCAGGTTACAGGTATTTTCTCTGTACAGGCCAGGATGACGCAGTTGACCTAATTGGCATGACCATTGGTACAGCTGAAATCACTGAGTACAGTAGCTCCATTCAACAGGCCTGTTGGAGTGCAAAACAATTACTTTCATTGCCTCTTTATCACTTGCTAATTGGAGTCTTTATGCATCACCAGATGAGATAAGATATAATCTCTCTCGCTCTCTCTCTCCCCACCCCTCTCCTCTCTCTCTCTTTCTTTCTCTCCCCCTCTCTCTCTTTCTCTCCTCTCAGTCAATAAAAGGGTATTGTAATAACACAGGTAAGGAGCTCTTTGCAATCTGGCTTATCAGCGGGACGTCCCACTCTGACAACAACACACGTGTGGTATGTGAGAGCTCAGGGCGACCACTAGTGGATGGATACCTCTGGGTGTACGGTAAATACACCTCTCTAAATACACCTTCCCTGAGCATATGGTAATGGACATTGTCATCATTAGCTAACCCTAATCTCTTTGTCTGTCTGTCTATCTGTCTCTGTCTGTCTGTCTATCCTGTCTCTCCTGTCTGTCTATCTGTCTATCCTGTCTGTTTGTCTGTCTGTCTATCCTGTTTGTCTGTCTGTATGTCCTCTTTTGGATACATTTTCAGAGGACAGCAGTTACTTTGCCACCCTCATTGGCTGTGTCATTGGTGGTTTCTTTGGGATCCTCATCGTAATTGGCCTGTCATACACTGTGCTCAGGAGATCTGAGAGGTTCCAGCGCTGTTTCAGTAAGTACCTCTCTACTTCAGCCCTAACAGAGGATGGATCAGAGAATGATGCCCTGCCCGGCGACGTTCATATGGTTCTCTTCTCTTTTCTGTGTTTGTGTCAACAGGGGGAAAAGACCGTGAGGATGACGTTACCACAATGGTGACAAAGGATTAAACACACAGCTTTCAATACTGTTGGATTTACTTATTCAACTTCTTAAAGGTGACCCTTTGAGGGGGGTTTTAGCATATGCCGAATGTTGTTTGTAATTTCTATTTTGTTTTACTGCTCTATTATTTGCTTATCTAGCAGTATGCAGTATCTGATACTGGATCAGTTTTCTGTGTCTTTAGTCTTATTGAATGTAGCTATACATAGGAAGTTAAACTAAATATTGCATTTTGAGAACTTACCAAAGACCAAAGACCATCTATCATATTCTCTCTCCTAAGCTTTTTGATATTTTTTGCCTTGTTTTGTTCATCTGCAGTTCTAATATTTGTCCAGCAGGGAGCAGCCATGACAGTACAGTAACTGAAGTTCAATGAAGCTGGGATAATACTAAAGCATTTGATAATGTACTGTAATTTTGTGTCTATGACTTTTCCTCTACACCGGAATACTGAAGTTTATGCTCCATTAATTGTTTTACAGTTATACTGACAGCCAGCTAACACCTGTTTTCACTGCATAAACAGTAGAGAGCAGGACATCTGAGTAGCTGTCTAAAGAAAGTGTTCCAGTGGAGGAACAGCAGAGGTGGTGCAATGTTGACTCAGCTGGCCTGCTATGCTCTGGTATGACTCTAACATGGACACAACTGGCGTCACTCCAGATCCCACAATATGCATTGGTAATTACATTGTTTAGAATTACATACATTCCTTTGAGATGTATTTATATATTTTTATGCATGCTCCCCATCTTTAGTGACTTTAGTGGATATGGTCAAATGCTCACAGACCCTTAGATGGTTTGTTTAGTGACAAATATGCCTCCTAACAAGTAAGAGTAGTGTACATTTTGAGTGTGCCTGCACGAGCGTGCTTGTGTCAGTGCATGCATGCTTACATACCACGCTTTTATTTAAGTCAAAGCTATGCATCAGAGTTGTGTCAGTGATGATGCAGACATATTATATGAATACAGTGAGCTCCAAATGTATTGGGACAGTGAACATTTTTGTTGTTGTTTTGGCTCTGTACTCCAGCACTTTGGATTTGAAATGATACAATGACTATGAGGTTAAAGTGCAGACTGTCAGCTTTAATTTGAGGGATATTTTCATCCATATTGGGTGAACCGTTTTTGAAATGACAGCACTTTTTGTACATAGTCCCCCCATTTGGACAAATTCACTTATATATGTATTAAAGTAGTAAAAGGTTAAGTATTTGGTCCCATATTCATAGCACGCAATGACTACATCAAGCTTGTGACTCTACAAATCTGTTGGAGGCATTTGCTGTTTGTTTTTGGTTGTGTTTCAGATTATTTTGTGCCCAATAGAATTTAATGGTAAATAGTGTATTGTGTCATTTTGGAGTCACTTTTATTGTAAATAAGAATATAATATGTTTCTAAACACTTCTACATTAATGTGGATGCTACCATGATTACGGATGATGCTGAATGAATCGTGAATAATGATGAGTGAGAAAGTTACAGACACACAAGTTACAGACACAATACATTATTTACCATTCATATGTTTTGGGCAGAAAATTATCTGAAACACAACCAAAAAAAACAGCAAATGCATCCAACAAATTTGAAGAGTCACAAGCTTGATGTAGTCATTGTGTGCTATGAATATGGGACCAAATACTTTACTTCTTACTACTTTAATACACATATAAGTGAATTTGTCCTAATACTTTTGGTCCCTTAAAATGGGGGAACGATGTACAAAAAGTGCTGTAATTTCTAAACTGTTCATCAGATATGGATGAAAATACCCTCAAATTAAAGCTGACACTCTGCACTTCAACCTTATAGTCATTCTATAATTGACTATAAGGTTGAGCCAAAACAACAAAAAATGTGTCACTTTCTCAATACTTTTTTAAAGGACTGTGAACATGTGTTTCAGGGTTGTTGTGCAAAGAAGAGAGCAGGGTTTTTGTGGAGGGAATGTCTTATGTTTGTGTTGTACCTGTGTGTTTGCTTTACCATATAACCTTTGGATAGCCCACCCTGCCTGTCTCTTGTGTGAGCCTACGACAACCCTTTCACTGTGGCCACTGGCTCTGTAGACTTTGTAGCTGAGGTATGCACAGTAGTGTAAAAGTACCCAATTGTCATACTTGACTAAAGGTATTTGTATTTGTATTTATTAGGGATCCCCATTAGCTGCTGCCAAGGCAGCAGCTACTCTTCCTGGGGTCCAAACATATTAAAGCACTTACATTACATATAAAACAAAATATAAAACAGTACATCATATGACATTATTACACCACTACCTATCTACAATACAAAATGTTTAATACCACCATACAACAATATCACAATGTGTGCGTATACATGTGTCTATACCCTTGTGTGTGTCTCTTCACAGTCCCTGTTAAATCTGATTCTACTGCTTGCATCAGTTACCTGATTAAGGTAAAGATACCTTAATAGAAAATAACTCTAGTAAAAGTGAGTCACCCAGTAAAATACTACTTGAGTAAAAGTCTAAAAGTATTTGGTTATAAATATACTTAAGTATCAAAAGTAAATGTAATTGCTAAAATGTACTTAAGTATCAAAAGTAAAAGTATAAATCCTTTTAAAAAGCAAACCAGACAGCACCATTTTCTTGTTTTAATTTATGGCTTGCCAAGAGCACCCTCCAACACTCAGACATAATTTACAAACAAAGCATTTGTGTTTAGTGAGTCCGCCAGATCAGAGGCAGTAGTGATGACCAGGGATGCTCTCTTGATAAATGCGTGACTTGGGCCATTTTCCTGTCCTGTTAAGCATTCAAAATGTAATGCGTACTTTTGGGTGTCAGGGAAAATGTATGGGGTAAAAAGTACATGATTTTCTTTAGGAATCTAGTGAAGTAAAAGTATAAGTTGTAAAAAATATACATAAATAGTAAAGTACAGATATCCCAAAAAAACTATGTAGGTAGTACTTTAAAGTATTTTACACCACTGGGTATGCAGGTATGCAGTCTTCCTATCAATAAGTGATATATGTGTTTTTTGTTCTACAGCTTTTTCCTCCTTTGCACTATATGGTCAGTTGTAAAAGTTGTGTTAAAGTTGTGTTTGTTTTTCACTTATCATCAGTAATAAATGTCTTAAACTATTCTGGTTTCATGGAATGCTATTGTGCTTGTAAAGTACAACAATGGAACACACACGCATGTTGGCCCCAATACACACACAGACTTGAACGCCACAGAACGGACTTTACCTCACAGTTTTATCAGTCCTTCATGGTGCTAACCACCTCAGTCTCATGTCAGGTCTTCATGTGTCACTGATGGTCCCTCTAACTAGGATATAGCCACTCACATTATTGTATTATCACTCGTGAAGAACTGGATACATATTCCTCCGCCGTTGCCGGGGGGATATAAATAGTCCCAGATAGCAACACATCACCATGCCGATACTGTGCCGAGGTTCAGTCGTGTCCCCTCTGAGGAGCCACCAGAGAGGTTGTGAGCCTTAGGTTCTTGACTCTGTGGTTCAGTTCAGTTTGTTTTTGCAGACAGACAGACAGACAGACAGACAGACAGACAGACAGACAGACAGACAGACAGACAGACAGACAGACAGACAGACAGACAGACAGACAGACAGACAGACAGACAGAGTGCCATTGACATCACCAGTAGTGAGTTCTGATCTCTAAGCTATGATAGCAGTCACTGTGAGTTGGGAATAGAGATGGAATATTCTACAGCATTATATTGTATTCAAGGCACCTCCCTCTCTGTGAGGTGAGCATGATCTCAATCTGACGGTTGTCATGCTTCTCTTTACTCCAAAACTGGCTTGGGAGGGAGAGTTGTTTTTCTCCACTTGGAGATCTGTTTGTGATTTTGTATCCAGTTCTCATGTATTTATAACAATAGAGCCATATGGACAAGGTACACTATATATACAAAAGAACGTGGACAACCCTTTAAATTAGTGGATTCGTGCTATTTCAGCCACAGGTGTATAAAATCGAGCACACAGCCATGAAATCTCCATAGACAAACACTGGCAGTAGAATGGTTTTACTGAAGAGCTCAGTGACTTTCAACATGGCACCGTCATAGGATGCCACCTTTCCAACAAGTCGGTTCGTCAAATTTCTGCCCTGCTAGAGCTGCCCTGGTCAACTGTAAGTGCTGTTATTGTGAAGTGGAAACGTCTAGGAGCAACAACGGCTCAGCCGCGAAGTGGTAGGTCACACAAGCTCACAGAACGGCATCACCGAGTGCTGAAGCGCGTACCACGTAAAAAATCGTCTGTCCTCGGTTAAACTGCCTCTGAAAGCAACTTCAGCACAATAACTGTTCGTCGGGAGCTTCATGAAATGGGTCTCCATGGCCGAGCAGCCGCACACAAGCCTAACATCACCATGTGCAATGCCAAGCGTCGGCTGGAATGGTGTAAAGCTCGCCGCCATTGGACTCTGGAGCAGCGGAAACACGTTCTCTGGAGTGATGAATCACGCTTCACTATCTGGCAGTCCGACGGACAAATCTGGGCTTGGCGGATGCCAGGAGAACGCTACCTGCCCCAATGCATATTGCCAACTGTAAAAGTTTGGTGGAGGAGGAATAGTGGTCTGGGCTGTTTTTCAAGGTTCAGGCTAGGCCCCTTAGTTCCAGTGAAGGGAAATCTTAACGCTACAGCATACAATTCAATTCTAGATGATTCTGTGCTTCCAACTTTGCGGCAACAGTTTAGGGAAGGCCCTTTCCTGTTTCAGCATGACAATGCCGCTGTGCACAAAGTGAGGTCCATACAGAAATGATTTGTCGAGATCGGTGTGGAAGAACTTGACTGGCCTGCACAGAGCCCTGACCTCAACCCCATCGAACAGCTTTGGGATGAATTGGACTGTGAGCCAGGCCTAATCGTCCAACATCAGTGCCCGACCTCACTAATGCCCTTGTGGCTGAATGGAAGTAAGTCCCTGCAGCAATGTTCCAACATCTAGTAGAAAGCCTTCCCGGA